CCTTCCTCTCTGTAAAAAATCAATAAAATATATTTTAAAAAATAATGGCAGATTTTGTAATCAAAGAAAACACAATAATTTCAAGAGAAACATCAAAAGTGCTTTATTTAAAGAAATGTCCATCGCTAGCTACATATTTCCCTACCTCAGATACCATCCCAATAGAACTTTCCTTGTTTTGAGGGAAACCATTCAGAGACCCAATTTTCTACTTCTTTGTATGTTTTGAAGTGCTGCTCAGAAAGTGTGTGTGCCATTGATTCGAACAAGTGGTAATCTGAAGGAGCAAGGTCTGGTGAATATGGCGGGTGGGTTAATACTTCCCAGGTAAGATCTTTTAACATGTCTTCAACTGGTTTTGATGGTGCGTTATCATGAAGCAAAATTACTTTGCCATGTCTTCTGGCACATTCTGGTCCTTTCACAATCAAAGTGTGGTTCATATTATTTGTTGTCAGTTGTGATCAGTATTAAGGGTTTCACCTGGTTTTAGAAGCTCATAATACACCACACCTTCCTGATCCCACCAAATGCAGAGCATTGTCTTCTTTCCAAAGCGATTTGGCCTTGCAGTCGATGTTGATGGTTGATCTGGATCAACCCATGATTTCCGGCATTTGGAATGCTCAAAATCAACTTTTCATCACCAGTCACAATTCTAATGCGAAATGACTTTCATGCTGTTGAAGCAACATTTTACTGATGACTTTTCTGTTTTCCATTTGTCTTCCATTCAGTTGATGTGGCACCCATTTTCCTTCCTTTAAGATCTTTCCCATTGCTTATAAACAATCAGAAACTGTTTGCTGAACAATGTTTAATCCTTCTGCAAGTTGTTTTTGAGTTTGGCATGCATCTTCATCCAATAATGCTTGTAATTGTTGGTCTTCAAACTTTTTGGTTGACCTGGACAGTTTTTGTCTTTCACATCAAAATCATCACATTTAAACCAGCGTTCACAAGTATCTTCAGTGGAGCATGTTCGCCATAAGCTTCCCGAAGTTTTCAGCAGCATTTTTCTTCAAAATAATGAATTAGAACTTCTTACAAATGCTCTTTTTTGGCATGAAATTCATGTTTAAGCCTAAAAATTTCTATAATGTAACACCTTCAGCAAATTTGATATATGAAGTTTTGAAGCTTGCTGTCAATACCACAAAATAGCATACATATCAAATGGTATATATACCAACATATTGAAAAAAATCTATTAAAAAAAACTGGGGAAAAAATCCACATTATTAACTGGTATCCTAGTATTTCACCTCTCCTCGCCTCAATTTTCTCCTCTGTAAAATGGGAGTAATCATAGCATCCACTTCAGAGGACCATACAGATCCAGTGGGGTCATGTTTTCACAGCTCAGAGCCTGGCTCCTGGTAAAGTCTCCCTAAGAATCAGTGCTGCCCTGGGAATCTGGCATCCCCACGTGCTCTTCAGAGGTGCCCTGAGACTGCCTTGGAGCCTTCCCATTGGGGCACAAGATGGGAAGAACCTGCCCCATGAGCCCAGCCCAGCACTGTTAGACACAGGACCATAGAGAAGAGGAGCAGGATAAAGCATTCCCACAAGAGAGGTCCAGCAGAAGCTGTGCTCTGCCCAGCCCACATAAGACAGGTCTTTGTACTGGATAACGGTAGGAGTCTGCACTGCCTGCCAAGAGTCACTTCATCTCCATCTCATCCTGCTCCCCATCCTCCCACCCCAGCAATTCAAAAGAATCCTGGCTTCTGGGAACCTAAGGCAAGGCATCTGGGACCTATCGCCACCCGGTGGCCACATGGGAAATTGCATCAGCTGAAGTTCTGTGCTTCCTTCCTGGGTCCATGGGTAGAAACCCTCTGCTACCGCCTAGTGGCCAGTGTGGGGTTAGCACTTGTTGGGCCTGTGGCTGCAGGCAGAACCTCACCAGCTTGAAGCAGTCAAAGGTCAAGGAATGTAGGCAGCCCCTGGAAGCTGGAAGAGGCAAGGAAGCCGATTCTCCCCTAGAGCCTCTGGAAGGCATGGGACCCTGCCAACAGCTTGATTTTACCCCAGTGACATCCATCCCAGACCTCTGACCTCCAAAATTGTAAGGCCGAAATTTCAGAAGGCAAAAGTAGGAATGGGCTTATCTTAAAGGGATCTGAGTGTGACTTGGCATAGGAGTTAGGCATAATGGAGTTAATCCAGTCAGATTCATAGAGGACAAACCAAGTTAAGAGGGTTATGTTGGCAAAAACACTACCAGTGGTGACTGTAAGGGGGCTGAGACAGTACAAGGTGGAAAGAGGCCCTAGGACCTCTACACTAAGGTGAGGAGATGTCTGGCTTTTGGCGGGACAGTCCCGATTTTTAACAACTTGTCCCACGTCCTGCGGCGTTTTAAAAAAGTCCTGCGGGACGCAAGACAAATGGTTAAAAATCGGGACTGTCCTGCCAAAAGTGGGACGCCTGGTCACCTTTCCCTACACTCATTTCCGCTCCCCAGGTAACCCATCCCCATCTTCTTCTTCTCAAAATGCCTCTGATATTAAATCGGAGAATTGCTTGGGTGGTGAAGAACTGGCATCAATGCTCTGAGGAAGTCCACTGAAATATCCCCTGACTCAGCAGGGAATCCTCCAAGGGACAGAAAGCTCAGGAATCTCCTTTTGCAACAGTGCTGGCCAAACACTAAGTGTGTTTCTGCCCCTGAAATGACTGAAGAGGTTCCCTCCTGCCCATGGATTTTATCCTTGGAGAATTCCCGGTCCCCAAGCGACGGCAGCCCCGTTCACATTGAGAGGCTCAAGAGGACCGTGAAGGTGTCCGGAGCTGGGCCTGAGTTGAAGGCCCTGGAAGGAGAAGAACCAGCTGCTCCGGGGACGCGGCCCCTGAAAAAGCAGAGCCAGTCCAGAGCCAGTGATCCGTTATCTGCGCAGAAATGACTCCCAGGATGCTTAGCGCCAAGCCGCTTCCTGTCTCAGAGGCCCCGGGCCTTGGATTCATGATGGGAATGGATTCTGGGAGCGAGAACTGACAGAAGCCTCGCTGGGCAGCACGGCCAGGAGGCTGTGCGGGCACAAAGCTGGCACCCAGAGAACAGGCCTTGGGCCGGAAGAGAGCACAGAGATTTGGGGGGGAATAGAGGCTAGAGGGGCTGGAAGGCCAACGCGCATGACCGGAAGTGATGGTTATTGCCTGTGCGCTCTCTCGCGAGAAGAGGAGCTGGCTTTGGGCAGAAGCCAGTTTCTCAGTTGGAGTCCGCACTGCAGGTTACCTGCCTGCGACATTTTCAAGCCGGGGTTTGTTTGAAGGCAAGTTGTTGGCTGCGCCTCTGGCTCCCGAGCCGAGGCCTTGCGTGGCTGGGAGGCAGTGACGGACCCGGCTGCACAGCCCCCTGGAGGTCCCGGAGCCCAGCCCCGCAGGCTCTGACCGGCCTGGAGGGAAGGCCTGAAGGCCGAACCCCTAACCCTGACCTGCAGAGCGGGCGGCGCCCAGAGAACTGCTGGGAGGCGCTGGGTCTGGTGACACCCACAGCTGGAGGAAGGTGAGCGGGGAGGGAACGGTTTGCAGATGCAGCCTCTGTCCGGCTGGCCCACTATCGCCGCTGTGCGACGCGGCCCCGAGCCCTGCGGTTGTCCTTTGCACTGAGGGCCGATCTTTTAAAGAAGACCAAAACATCAGTGAGAGAAGCACACCAATTGGTTGCCTCCTAGGCAGGCAGTATCATGAAGTGCCATTCGGGATGAAAGAACAGAGAAGGATGAATTATGAGAGCGCTTCTCAGCTGGGTGACCCTCTGAATGGATGAACCCCAGTCACTGAAGCTTGGCACACGGGAAGATGGGTACAGATTTGGTTTTGCCATTAGCCACCCGCCACTGCACCTGACCACTCCCCCGTTGGCTGGTGCATTCCAGGGGTGAGCTGAAAGGAAACCCCAGCTTAGGAAACAGGGTTATTCTTCATGTGGATGACTCTGTGCCGAAAGCATGGGGACAACCAGGAAATGGCTGAGGGAGGCCATTGTGGTCTGCCCTGGCTTTGGGTGTGACAAAGCTTTTGCCGTGTTTTCTTTTCTCTGCAGTTAAGCACAGTGGAAATATCACATTCGATGAGATTGTCAGCATTGCTCGACAGATGTGGCACCGATCTTAGCTAGAGATTTCTCTGGTAAGAGCAGGACGACATGGAACCACCTAGTGACATGGGGCATATTCACCGAGTGGCAGCTTTTTCCTATTTTATTTAAATATATTTTATTGATTTTTCACAGAGTGGAAGAGAGAGGGATAGAGAGTTAGAAACATCGATGAGAGAGAATCTTCAATCAGCTGCCTCTTGCACACTCCCTACTGGGGATGTGCCTGCAACCAAGGCACATGCCCTTGCCCGGAATCGAACCCGTGACCTTTCAGTCTGCAGGCTGATGCTCTATCCACTGAGCCAAACAGGTCCCGGCACTTTTTCCTATTTTAAAGGAAACAGTTCTTTAAGACCCAACATTTGGGGCATAGTCTTTTCTGGGTTTGAAAATGTGGCTTAAGGTGATTTGGGACCAGATGTATTTAATCTGGGTCTAGATGTATTTAATCAAGGGTCCCATGGAGACTTGGCATTCAGGCCTTGCCTAGCTAAATGAGAGCTCTCAGGTAGTGGGGCCGGGAGTTTATTTCTGATACCTTATGACACTGTCTGCTGTGGAACTCAAATGGGTGTTCCCAGTGGTGTGTGAGGATTGTGAGGGGCTGGCGTTTCTCACCTAATGCCACATTTTTTTTAATTGTAGGAACCATTAAAGAGATCCTGGGGGCTTCCCAGTCTGTGGGGTGCAATGTTGATGGCCGCCACCCTCATGACACCATAGATGATATCAACAGTGGTGCCGTGGAATGTCCGGCTGTAAGTGACTTCTGTAGTTTGTTTGCTTAAAATCAACCAGGGTGAGAGCTGGAGAGTTTTAGAATTGGTCAGTAGTGGGGTTGAGGAGACTTTTTCCCATATCACTGATAGGATTTCTTTCTTCTTTCCTACAGAGTTAAGAACTACAAAGGAAAAGGACTCAGATCGTTTGACAAGCAGTGACTTTTCTATGTGGCCTCTCCTTGGGGAGCTAGGTTCTTTGTGTCAGGTGGTTAGCGGGACCAAGTGGGGAACCTGTGGAAGCACCAATCTGGCATCTGTGATCTCGGCAGTAGCAGGTTTCTGCCCTCTGTGCCTGCAGCTCTCATGAAAGACGTCTCAGCATTTCTGTAGACAGTCCGGGAGCTCGTCATGAGAAATAGTTCTTGGCCAGAGGAAAGCTTGTAGTGCAGCCTAGCTACAGGGTGATGCGTTCTTCATCCTAGACCGAATCATTTGGTGGGCTGGGGCCCAGGGCCTGCAATTCAAGACTTCGATATCCATTCCAGCACACAGCTGGGGTTAACTGATTGGTCAACAGAGAAACCTGACCTGTGTCCTTGATTGATCTGAGTTTCTGTGAAAGTGAGGGTCAAGTATACTTTTAAAGTTTAGCTACAGCCTAGTTCCGACAGTCTCTTGGTTTTAAGCCAGTGACAGGTGATAATCTGTTTTCACCTTTTCCCTCATCATCCCTTGGTTGCTTTTAATCACCTTTAGAGCTCATCACTCACTTTTCCTTTAATAGACGTGCAATGCATGGCCACCTGGGCACTGAGAGAAGCTACATTTGAGTAGCTTGAAACACCACTTGGGAATGATTAACCCAATAGCTTTTGTCAGCAGCCCTTTTAGCAGGTGGTTTTTAATCCCTCCAGGTGCAGTCAGGGTTGGAGAAGACACTATCTTTAGTGGAAGGTGAGGGAAAATAAGGGGTGAGAACAGTTGACACAGCTTCCCTTACAGCAGGCAGCCAGTACTGGGGAATCTGTCCCTGAAGTCAAACACATACCCAACCAAAAACCAGGGAGAGCACACAGTGGTTTGTAACTGCTGAGATGAGGTCACACCATTGGCGGCAATAGGACCCAGGTGGGTGCAATGTGGAAAAGCAAAGGGTACTGTCCTCCAGTGGGGAAAGCAGGGCTAAGCCACCTGCCTCTGCCCCAGGGAGAGCATGGCTTCAGGTTGTCCCTCCCTCTCTGAGGGGCTGCCTCATGGAGAGATTTCAGTAACTTAGCCTCCAGACACCTCAGCTTCTATCTTTCCAAGACTTAACAGCCAAGACAAGCACTAGGTCAGTTCCTAGAGTGGACATTGGGAATAGCGGAGTTACTTAAATTGCACTTGAGTGTAGGTTTTTTATTTTTGATATATATAACTGACTTCAGAGAGGGACAGGTAGAAAGAGAAACATCACTGACGGGAATCATTGACTGGCTGCCTCCTACACGCCCCCCATTGGGGAACGAGCCCACAATCTGGGCACGTGCCCTTGACCGGAATCTATCCTGGGACCATTCAGCCCACAGGCTGACACACTATCCACTGGGCAAAACCAACCAGGGCTGCAGGTTTACATATATTTGGCATTAAGGCATGAAACCTTCACCACCTACCCTCAATGAAATTGTAGCATTAAATTTCCCTACTTGAATTTACTTCCTCAAATCAGATACTTTGACCATATTATAGAGAAATGCTCTTTCCTGGCCAGGATTCTTGGTTCTTTTGGTTTCTTGAAAATCATTCAAGGAGGGACCACCATTGCTGAAATACCTAGCATTTAAGTAGGAACCAGGTCTTCCATTGATTTGATTACACCTTTATAAACCAAGGTTCCTGGAGTGCGTGGTACACAAAAAAGCACTTAGGCCCACTGACTATAGGTAACTAGTAATTTGAGTTGGGTCATATGGTTGACAGATGATGTTAAAGAGAAAAAGGCTCTGAGACCTTCCACATTAGATAGTCATTTTATTAAAAGTACAAAAGCGTGTTTCCAGAGGCTTTCTAACCATCAGGCCCCCATCCACATCGGCCATGTTTGCAGTTACTCTCTAGCATGGAGGCTCTGGTGTCTAAGGAAAGCTGACCTACACCTGAAGGCCTTCCCACCCTCCACATTGGTGGGGCGTCACACCAGTATGAGTTCTCTGATGCTAAGGCATGAACTCTGGTTAAATGGTTTGCTACACATTGCATTGTTAGGGCTCCTCTCCAGTGTGAATTCCATGATGTCTAATGAGGGCCGAGCTCTCAGGGAGAAATTTCCTACATTCGTTACATTCGTATGGCTTCTCCAGAGTTTGGGTCTTTTGGTGGGTTATAAGATTTGTACTTTGGCTGAAGGCTTTCCCATGCTCGCTGCACTTGTAGGGTTTCTCTCCAGAGTATGTCCTCTGGTGGTTTGTGAGGTTGGCTCTCTGGCTGAAGGCCTTCCCACAGGTGTTGCATTTGTAAGGTTTCTCTCCTCTATGGAGCCTCTGCTGCTGTATAAACGCGTCACAGTAACTGAAGGCCTTCCTCCACTCGCTGCACTTGTAGGGCTTCTCCCCTATGTGAGTTCTCAGGTTGTTTGTGAGGTTGGTGCTGTGAAGGCAGGCCTTCCCTCAGATGCTGCATCTGTAGGGCTCATCTCCAGTGTGAATTCTCTGATGCTGAACAAGGGTTGAACAGTCACTGAAGGCTTTCTCCCACTTAGTGCATTTGTAGGGGTTTTCTCCAGTGTGAGTTGGTGTTTTGTGAGGTTTGCATTCTGGCTGAAGGCTCTTCCACAGGTTTCTCTCCAGTGTGAATCTTTGATGCTGAATAAGAGAGAAGCTCTGGCTGAAGGCTTTCCCACACTCATTGCACTCATAGGGCTTCTCTCCAGTGTGACTCCTATTTATTTATTTATTTATTCATTTATTTATTGAGACTAGAGAGGCTTGTGCTTCAACGGCAAGTGGGATAAAGGGGGGCAATAATAGCAATTCCAGAGGCATAGAGGGCAGGCAACCAGGCCCACCTGGGCCAAGGAAACTGGCTTCTTGTCCAGGGTTCTGTGTGTGGGAGGCAACATGAACCCAGAGACTGAGGGCTCTTGGAGAGGGATGACAGACCAGATGGCTAGAAGTCCATGGAGCTGTGGGCCAGGTAGTCCTTGTGGTGGATGTTGCTGACCTGTTTGGTCTGCACGGCCTCGAGTTTGGGGCAGTGGGCGATGGGATGGCCCAGGCCCCCGCAGAAAGCACAGCCTCGTTCTCCTCCAATCTCCAGCGTGGACTCGTCCCCACAGTGCAGCGCTTGCAGCACAGGTGGCACCTTCTGCCTGGCCTCCAGCAGCAGGGCTTTGAGGTCCATCAGCACTGAGTCATCGCAGGCCTTGTTGATGAAGGTGGTGGCGATGCCTGTTTCCTGAGCGCCCAGTGCAGCCTATTCTGTGCACGTAGCTCTCGATCTCCTCGGGCATGTCATAATTGATGACGTGCTGGATGGCAGGAAAGTCCAGCTCCTTGGAGGCCACGTCTGTGGCCACTAGAACATCCTTCTCGGCCTCTCGGAATGCCTCAATGGCCTTGGTCTGTTCCTCCTGGTCTTTGCCCCCATGGATGGCCACAGCCTCGACCCCTTTGAGCAGCAGGTACTCATGAATGGCATCCACTTCTGCTTTCTTCTCTGCAAAGATAAGCACAAGTGGGGGTGTCTTTTGCAGGCAGTCGAGCAGATACACCATCTTGGCCTCCTCCTTCACATATTCCACCTCCTGTATGACATGTAGACTGGCGGCCCAAGCACATCCCTCATTGATGGTGACAGGCTTCACCAGGGCACTCTTGGCAAAGTTCTGTATCTTCTTAGGCTGGTGGCGCTGAAGAGTAGGGTCTGTCGCTGGCCCTTGAAGTAGGAGAAGATGGTGCGGATGTCACCCTTGAAACCCATGTCGATCATGCGGTCAGCCTCGTCTAGGGCCAGGCAGCGACAGATGTCTAGGCCGACCCTCTTTTGCAGCAGATCCATGAGGCGCCCAGGGGTGGCCATGTCGGACGGTCTCCACCTGCTCTGACAGATGTGCCCCTGATGCAGAGGGCACAATGCAGAAGTGGCAAGCTGTCCTCCTGCAGCAAGCGGCAATAATACTCCAGGATGCCGTGGGTCTGCTGGACCAGCTCTCTCGAGGGACAGATAATGAGTCCATAGGGCCCTTCACCCTTGGAGAAAGGGAATCTCTTTTCTTGTTCCAGGCAGCACATGATGACGGGCAGAGTGAACACCAGCATCTTGCCTGAACCCTGAAGGCGATGCCGATCATGTCCCGACCAGAGAGAATGGTGGGTTTGCCCTGGATGTGAATGGGCGCCGGGTGGTGGAGCCTTTCTCCTTCTGGCCTCAGGATGGCTGCAGGCAGTTTCATTTCCCTGAAGCTCCTTCCACCAGGATGGTGGGACACCATCTCCTTCCACCAGGATGTGGCCTTTTTCCCTCACACGTTCATGCCTCTCTTCAGACATGCTCAGGACATAACGGGGAGGTGTCCAGCTGGTTTTGATTGGGTCCTCATATGTGATTCCTTTGGCCATTTCCTTCACTGACATCAAGGCTTGGCCCTCAGCCACACTCTCCAGGATCTTCTCTTCCCTCAGTTGCTTTTCCCTGGCAGATTCCTTGCGGGCTTCAGCCTGCTCCTTGAGGTGCTGGTGTTGATCCAGGAGGCTGACGTTGGCCTGAGGGCCCATAGGAATGTCGTCCTCATCTCCCCTATGGTCACTGCTGCTGTCCTGCTGCTCCTCCTCTGCAGCTCCCTTGAGTCTTCGCTGGAGCAGCTTCTGGAGCAGCAGCTGTTGATGCTGTCGCAATGGCACGTAGGGCACAGAGTCCTCGTCATCCTCCTCCTCCGTCTCGGAACTGCTTCTGGAGGCAGTCACATTGTCAGTTCGAGCCCGCTTCCGTTCTGGTTCCGAATCCTCCATCCTTTTCTGCTCACATCCATTGTGGCTCTTCTGTTGCTGTGAAAGGGAAGAGCAGTGACAGAAGGCTTTGCCACAGTCATTACATGTGTATGGCTCTGCTCTGTGAGACTCAGTTTGTCTGAATTCCTCCTGAGGCTCTTCATTTGTATTTCACGTTTATGGAGTCTCACTTCTTGAGGAACTCTCTG